GGTTCATAAACAAAGGGATTTAACACCTAAATGGAAGAGGATTGAGCAGTGAGGCTGCAGGGGCATGTTCTATATACCAAAACTGCTTCATTAAGCTAAAGTTGTTCAGGTGACTATAGTGTCTCTTTAACATTGTGCATGCACATACTGAGCTCCAGTGCATTGAGAACAGATCTGTTTTACCTTTTCTGCAGTTGGTTGGGTATGGATAATATCTGCACTAAGCATGGATCACAAGACTGGCTGTGAATAGGCCAATAGCCATTTTAGAATGGAAAAGAAACAAGCTATTTCATAGGCGATTTTAAAATGGACCACTACTTGGCTAGTACAAAACTTAAAGAGACAATGAAATTTGGAAGATAAAATGGATATTTTGTATTCAATTAACAATTCTTATATATTGATCTAATACTTAGGGCTTTATATAGTTTAACAAATTATACAATGCTTGAAAAAAAAAGCATCTGGATACAGACATTGACTTGCAATATAGTCACGGATGAAACATGCCGAGTGTTCTACTTGACCGTTTTTTCACTCAAATCTCTCCTACTTGACTCTATTATTACTTTCTCTTAGATGAGATCATGACCGGCTGGCAAATATCTATGGATAAGTTAGCAATTTTGTGAGATTGGGAAAATTTAGGTAACAGCTTGGTGCAGTCTCTCTACCGCCCTCTGTTGTTCATACTATTTAAACGCTTTATGGCTATTATACTAAAAAAAAAAAAAAAAATCACCTTATGTACAATAGTAGTTTGAAGAGAACTCTACAATTTATATTAATATTATTGCTAACTCATTCTCTGCTTTTTGCCATCTGTCTAGTATTGAACTTTTATTAACGTTTGCATTTAGTTGCTTTATCATAGTGGCGACCTCTGTTGGTAGCACCTTATTACTGCATTTAGAAAGTATTGAGGAAAGTTGGATTAATATTAATGAATCAGTTACTAGTTGTGATTATAACTATTTTTGATATTGCATGAGCTTTGTAAGCACTATTAAATATTCATTAGTATACTCGCTATTCAACTATTTAACTTTATATTTTATATTCTGACTTTAAATTAAAGTTATGTTTCATTCTTTATATTAGAACCAAGTTCATTAACCCCTTAAGGACACATGACATGTGTGACATGTCATGATTCCCTTTTATTCCAGAAGTTTGGTCCTTAAGGGGTTAAAATAGTTAGGTATAAAACTCAAACATAACCTCCCAACATTTCACATTGACAAAGAGAGGCACTCTAATCTTAGGTGTTTGTATGGCGGTATGGCTGGATGCAGGACTATTCTTAGAAACTTTAGGTGACTTACTATTAACAATGTATACAATTAAAATGAAATTTACACATACTGATTTTTAAACACATTTATTGTTGTTTAAAGACACATTACTGTGATAGTGGCAACTCCAGCATTCATATTTAGGGGGGGCGGGGGAAGGCACATGGGAGATAAGGGAAAAAAGGAGGGGGGTAATTATAAAACATGTGTATGTATATGTGTATATAGGCCTGAACTGGCCATCGGGCACACCAGGCAAATGCCCGGTGGGACGCGATGGCCATGGGCCAAGGCCGGCAGGGGAGGTCACAGGACATCCCCTGCTGGTCTATGCAGGGCCGGCACTATCCGAGCGCCGGCCCCACTGTTTTCCATGACGGGGCGAGGCTAAAGTTCACTCACCCACTAGCACCACCAGGGTTGGTTAGAGTGCCGCCACCCCCCCCACCCAGGTACCACCGTGCCTGTCCCCCCTCCCAGGCTAATGGTAAGAAGGGAGGGGGAGATGCCTGTTTTTGTGTTCTTTTTTTACCCCTCCAAAACACAATCCCTAATAACATATACACACACATCACCTTCACACACACACACACACACACATCACCCACATCACCCACACACATCACCCTCACTGCACCCCTGACACATACACACAGAACCCCCCAACACACTGCACCACACATACACACAATACTTCCAGACATATTTATAATATAACACACACACAAACTACAGAACCCCTCACACACACACACTGCACTACTCACACACATACTACACCCCTAAACACATTACATCCCAGACACACACTAGATCCCTTACCCAACTCTGGATCATCTACACACATACACACACTAGATCCCTATATACACTATGAATCTGCTATATACACACACTCACTAGATCTCCTCTACACATTCTGAGTCCTTCAAACACACACTAGACTCTTATATACACACACTACATTCCTAACATATACTCTCTGGATCCCCTATACACACACTAGATTCCTTGTAAGCAAACACATACTACACCCCTAAACACACACTCTCTACAACCCCTACAAACACTACATCACCTATACACACACTATAGCCCGTATGCACAAACTTGCTATATGCCCTATGCACACATTCTCTACAGCCCCTAGCCACATATGCATTACATTACACGACAAACACAACACGACTAAAACTGACCTTATTACACAATACCACACCACAATCAGCTCACTCTACACACACACACAATCCCACAAGCAGGCTCCAAACACATGCACAATACTCTTTCAGCCCCAAAAGCCAGAATACTCACCTACCCTGGCACTACGCTTTTTTTGGGAACTGCTTGACAGCCCCTAAAACACTAAATAATGTTAAAAAAAGAATAATGTTGCAAAATATTATATATACACAACTATTTAACCCCTTAAGACCGCAGCCAAATGCACAAGTTGTGATCAAAACAAAACGTAAACAAAACCTGGCATTTGCGCTGCATGTCTGTCCAACCGTAATTCACCTCTTTCATATTATATGCAGCCACACTTATTATATATTATTTTATTCAGGGGAAACAGGGCTTTCATTTAACATCAAATATTTAGGTATGGAACATAATTTAATTTGAATAAAATATAAAAAAAATGGGAGAAAATAAGATTTTTTTAAAAATTTTCTTAGTTCTACGTGACATTTTAACTGTGAATGTCAAAATACTGTTTGCTTTTACTGCAATAAAATACACATATTTGTATTCAGCGATGTCTCACATCTAAAACAGTACCCCCTATGTACAGGTTTTATGGTGTTTTGGGAAGTTACAGGGTCAAATATAGCGTGTTACATTTTTCATTTTTTTTCACATTGAAACTTGCCAGAATGGTTACGTTGCCTTTGAGACCATATGGTAGCCCTGGAATAATAATTACCCCCATGGTGGCATACCATTTGCAAAAGTAGACAACCCAAGGTATTGCAAATGGGGTATGACCAGTCTTTTTTAGTAGCCACTTGGTCACAAACACTGGCCAAAGTTAGTGTTAATATTTGAAAATGCAAAAAACTAATTTAAACGCCAGTTTTGGCCAGTGTTTGTGACTAAGTGGCTACTAAAAAAAATACTGATCATACCCCATTTGCAGTACCCTCTACTATTGGGAGACAACCCATCGTGGGAGTAATTTTCATTCCTGGGCTACCGTTCGGTCAGAAAGGCAACATAACCAACCTGGCGAATATTAATGTGAAAAAACTGAAACGCAAGCCTTATATTTGACTCTGTAACTTTTGAAAACACCATAAAACCTGTACATCAGGGGTACTGTTATACTCGGGAGACTTCGCTGAACACAGCGTATTTACATATTTATTTATTTTTTATTAAATATAAATATATATATATATATTGAAAATTCTATATATATTTAATCAATATCATTGTACGTGTATTTTGATATTAATATATATATATATATGTGTATATATATATATATGTATGTGTATGTATACACTTAGACAGTGGATGTGTATATATGTGTATATATATATATATATACACTTAGATCATATATATAATAAATAATATAAATAATAATATTATTTATTTTTACACTGTTTTAACATCTTTTAATTTTATTTCCAGACAGCAGGGGGAGTACCAGTCATTATAGGCACTCCCCCTGCTGGCAATGCCTTGGACGGCTATGCCGTCTATGTCATCGCAAGGTCCTCACAAGGACCTCGCGATCACATGGCCCAGGGGGGCCGAAGAGGACGGAGGGGGACTCCCTGGGCTCCCAGGTAAGTCCCGTAATGCGATTGCCGGCGTGGGATTTAGAGCCATCAAAATAGGGATGGCATAGAACGCCCTGCGGTCTTAAGGGGTTAACAAATACATGTGTGTGTGTATATATATACACAGCTCAAAAAAATAAAGGGAACACAAAAATAACACATCCTATATCTGAATTAAATATTCTTCTGAAATACTTTGTTCTTTACATAGTTGAATGTGCTGACAACAAAATCACACAAAAATTTAAAAATGGAAATCACATTTTTCAACCCATGGAGGTCTGGATTTGGAGTCACATGTGCTCAGTGTGAACCTGCTTTCATCTGTGAAGAGCACAGGGCGCCAGTGGCGAATCTTGGTGTTAAATGGCAAATGCCAAACGTCCTGCATGGTGTTGGGCTGTAAACACAACCACCACCTGTGGACGTCGGGCCCTTATACCACCCTCATGGAGTCTGTTTCTGACCGTTTGAGCAGACACATGCACATTTGTGGCCTGCTGGAGGTCATTTTGCAGGGCTCTGGCAGTGCTCCTCCTGTTCCTCCTTGCACAAAGGCGGAGGTAGCGGTCCTGCTGCTGGATTGTTGCCCTCCTACGGCCTCCTCCATGTCTCCTGATGTACTGGCCTGTCTCCTGGTAGGGCCTCCATGCTCTGGACACTACGCTGACAGACACAGCAAACCTTTTTGCCACAGTTCACATTGATGTGGCATCCTGGATGAGCTGCACTACCTGAGCTACTTGTGTGGGTTGTAGACTCCGTCTCATGCTACCACTAGAGTGAAAGCACCGCCAGCATTCAAAAGTGACCAAAACGTCAGCCAGGAAGCATAGGAACTGAGAAGTGGTCTGTGGTCACCACCTGCAACACCACTCCTTTATTGGGGGTGTCTTGCCAATTGCCTATAATTTCCACCTGTTGTCTATCCCAATTGCACAACAGCACGTGAAATTGATTGTCACTCAGTGTTGCTTCCTAAGTGGACAGTTTGATTTCACAGAAGTGTGATTGACTTGAAGTTACATTGTGTTGTTTAAGTGTTCCTGTTGTAGATAATTTACTGCAAACCAATTAGTTTGAATGACTATCTGTTCCTGTCCAAATTAATGATAATAAAGTTGCGTGCACGCAGAAGTAAATTCACACTGAGACACAAAGTTCAGGTTAATGAAAGAACTTCGGAGAAGTTTAATGGCTTCTGACAGAAAATGGGTGCGCAGACCCTTTTAAAGGCATTATTACATCACTGAAGAATTCAAGATAACAGCAAATAGACACTATTGATTGGTCCAGGTGTTAAGTGGTTAGTTAGATACCCTCCTATCAAGAGGTGATGTCATCCTTGACACGGGAGTGGACACAAGATGTAGGCGCCATCTTGTTAGCACGAGGTGTTCACTCGATGGGAGGGGTGCTTTGGCAGCCATTTTGAGTAGTTAGTATTGTTAGCTTCAAGGTTCTTTTAGCAAATACACATTTTATTATTCAGCACATTTCCTCCTGACAAAGCATTAGCTTAGATAATTTCAAGAATTCTATAATTCTACAACAGTCCCCCCTTAAAATGTTAGTTACTAAAAGATAAACTTTATTTGTTAGTATCAGAAGATGTGTTAGCCCAAAGACACAGAAACCCCATGACCGCTGACTTAGTGTTAATGCAAAGTGCAAGTCTATCCCTCTCTTGACCCTAACAGGCTGCAGCACATCCGTCAGTACGGTTCAGGAACACTCTTCACTCCGCTGGTAACCCATAGTGGCTTATCCACTACTTCTCCGTACGGCAGTCTACCCATAAAGACGGACGCTGTCCCTGTACTGTCCCTTCCTAGACTTTCTGCACTTCATCAGTATAAGGGAGAGTTTGTAGCGGAATACAGGGTGATGTGAGATCTTGATCATCGATTGTCAGATGAGTGAAGGTTGGTGTTGCTTGGTCTACAGTTTTCTGCAGGAATTTCCTTAGGCATGGGAGGACACAACAAATGAGAAGAGCGAGAATAAAAAGAAAAATTAGTAAGGCAATACCAATCTGGTCTAAAGCTCTCTGCCAACCAGTCATCCAACCAAACCATTTTTCCCAGGGATCAGTAACTCCAGAGTTTCTCTTTAACTCTTCTGAGAGTCTATTTAATTTAGCTATGGCCAGAGTGACTTTACCATTAGGACCTGTGTTTTCTGGAATGTAAGTGCAACAAGTCATAGTGTCGGGTAGTATTTTACATACACCCCCCTTTTCAGCTAGAATCATGTCTAAGGCCATTCTGTTCTGAAAGGTCATCTGGGATGTGGCCTGCAACTGCTCGGCCAGGCCCTGGAGGGTATCCCTGGTGTAGTTGACAAAACGCTGTTGGTTGTAATAAATGTAGTTAATCCAATTAAGGTTTTTTGTTGGCAGTGACTATGGTAAAAAGTGATTCAAAACCTACAGCTACTTCATCTCTAGCTTTAAATTCATTAGGCACCCCCATAGGTACCCCAATGGCATCTATGTAAATGTGGGGGTCAAAACTGCCTTTTACTGGGGTTTCGCGCCTCACTCTGGCTGGTGTATGTGGAGGGTCGTATGTGTCATGATGATTATCAGAAATAATATGAATGGGCATGATAACTTTGGCTAGGGTACACTCACCCCACCACTCAGTTTCCAGCCTAGATCTTAACTGTAGATCCCCACATAACCAGTAAATATCCCCCAATGACCTGGTATGGTGTTGCAACAGGCGTATAGGAACAGTTCTGTAAGTGGCGCAATAACCTTTAGAAAAATTACCCATGAGTTTACCAATCCCGTCATACATGGCATAACAAGTGTAATTACCTCTATAGACTGTGATTCCATCTGGTGGCTTAACATTTTCAACTAAGAGAGGGTATTCTGCCGTCCATGCCATGCAGAGGGACCTATTAAAGTCATATTGGTAGGCAAAAAGGCTTAAGAAGCAATCTTCTATCTCTAAAGGGAGAGTTAGGGGGACGGTGCCAAGGTGGGGTCGGGCACCGCCACATACATAACATGCTGTTTTATTATGTTTGTTGGCATTATACCTCATCCATTCTAACCACAAATTAATGTCATTGAATCCAGTTTCAGCGGCCATGGTATCTTCAAAAGTGGGGTTAGCGATGGCCATCATATCTTTAAAGGACTGGATATGTGGTTTTAGCGGATTTGGGACCATATGATCAGCCCCTTGCCACTCTGGAGAGTGGTACATATCTCTGAGGTAGAAATGACCTAATTTGTTGTAGGAACCTTTCTTCCAATACATTCCCATTACATATCGGTCTGCATCCTCGGGGCCAGGATGTTCAATATTTAACATTAATTTCATAGGGGTACTTCCTCCAGGCTTTCTTAAAGTCATTCTTTGAAGGAGGGATCTACCCTGATTGTCTATCTTAGATAAAGCACTTTTGGGTTTATAACCCCAGGCAGGCCCAATATTCCATCCCGCAGCCCCCCAGTAGTTACAGTCATAACCCCATTGTTCATCTACTACACAAACGTAAGGGTCCTTTGCTTGTGGTATATCTTTATAAATGGCTTGAATCTGTGACTTAGGGAATGGGCATTCTACAATATCACAGTAATCAAAAGTGAATGTAGCCACATGGGTACATGATGAATTATACCAGAAAGTGTACCCACTAGCATCTTTGGTGATGGCCACCTGCTGGGCTTTAAGGAGGCCAACTAAGGAGATAATGTACCAGAGGCACATGGTTGCAGAGAGTTAGCTTCCTCTGGGGCAGGTGTCTTCTTGCAATGGGAAGCGTGGATCCAGTTAGGCCTTCCGGGGAGATCAGGAGAACTTGGAACGGTCCGTCAAATCTTGGTTCCAGGGTGTGTTTTCGCACAAATTTCTTGACCAGAACCCAGTCACCAGGGAGCAGACTGTCGTTGCCCGTATCAGAATCAGGATCTGGAATTGAAGAGAAAACTTGGGCATGGATTTTGTTTAAAGCATTTGCGGGTTCAGTTACATAATCTACTAAAACATCAGTTTGAAGTTGTAGTTGTTGGGGAAAATAGCAACCTAGCCTAGGTGCAGTCCCAAATAGAATCTCATATGGGGACAGTGAGGTAGTATTTTTGTACAAGAGCATTCATTAGATCCTTTGATAAATGTGCAGGTCCGTGTGCCCATTGTACGACTGCTGGGTACAAATTCTTAGGGAGGCAGAAATTGAGGTTGTTGGAGTACACTCCATCCTTCAGAACTGCCCCTTTCTGTTTCCACTTCTGTATTTCTTCAGGGGCAACTGTTGGCAGGATTTTCAGGTCAGTTGGAAGAGTCTGCAGAGTAAATATGGGAGTTTCTTCATTTCCGGACACTCTTCTTTCCACTTCCTGTGGTTCTCTTGCAGCTTGTTTTGCAGCCTGATCAGCTAGATGGTTGCCCTTTGCTTCATCTGAGTCCAACTTCCCATGTGCCTTTACCTTCAGAATGGCCACTTCTTCTGGGAGTAGGAGGGCATCCATCAGCTCCTTGATTGCAGAACTGTGCTTGACTGGTGTACCGGCAGTGGTAAGAAATCCTCTTGTTTTCCAAATTAATCCGAAGTCATGAGCCACGCCCAGTGCATATCTTGAATCTGTGTAGATATTGGCGCGCTTTCCTTCAGAGATCTTGCATGCTGAAGTCAGGGCTTGCAATTCAGCTTCTTGTGCAGACATTGTTGATGGTAAAGATGATGATTTGACAATTTCATCTGTTGTGGTTACGGCATATCCTGTATGGTATCTTCCTTCTTCATCAGCATATCTTGAGCCGTCCACAAACAGGGTGAGATCGGGATCTACCAATGGGTCTTCATGCACAGTTGGTAGATGTGTTGTTTCCATTTTCATCTGTTCAAAACAGTCATGAGGTGTATCTGGGTCGTAGTCATTCACTATGGTTAAATCTTGGAACTCAATTTCCAGGAAATGACGTGGCCATGCTTTTAGGTGGTCAGTTGTTGGATATTTGACAACACCATTTTCCTGTAGCTGTGATTCGTCCATAGTGGCCCATGCTTTTGCCATAGGCCCAAGATCATTCCATGATATTGTTTTCAACTTGGTCACAGGGACATGTGGAATGGCAGTGTCCCAATAATGGTACAAATACTTGAGTTCCGGAAGTAGATGAATCAAGACCATACTGTTGCCTTCAGAATCACAGTAGAAGTCTTGTGCAGAGAGTTTTACTTCGACCAGATCATAGAGTTCATCTTCATAGCAGGGTTCAGGAGTGATGTTTGGTTTGTACCAAATGGTACAGAAGGCATATCCTGCTCCGTCATGAAGGAGTGCTTGTCCATCATGAAAGGATAGGTTGGGATGCATTTCCTTCTTGATGGTGCCAGTGAGAAGAAAAACATAAGTTTCGTCCATGATGAATCCGTAGTATACACCCCCCTCAGGGAGTGGCAGAAGAGTGGACGGATTGAGAACTTGACATCTTTGAAGGGTAATGTTGTCAGGCAACAAAAGATGACATTGAAGGCGAAGATGCCTAGCAGGAGTAACATGCTTAAGTTGGACCTGGTTGACTATGGCAGAAATGTCATGAGGGGCCAAGACAACCAGGGGGTGGCCAAGGACAAGATCTCCAGTTCTTTCAATGAGCTCTTTGGCAGCAAAGACGGCCCGAAGGCAAGTGGGACGTCCTCTGGCCACAATATCCAGTTGGCAGGAGAAAAATCCAATAGGCCTTTGGTGGCCTCCAGGACCATGGGCCTGAGTGAGTACTCCTGTTGCATGGCCTCGTCTTTCAGAAACAAACAATTTGAAGGGTTTGGTATAGTCTAGTAGGCCAAGAGCAGGAGCAGAAGCAATAGCACGTTTGAGAGAACAGAAGTTGTCAAGGGCTTCTGTGGACAAGCAAAATGGGTCTGACTTGAGAGCATCATAGAGAGGTTGCATAAGGAGTGAGGCTTCTGGGATCCATGCTCGGCAATAGGAAATGAGGCCTAGGAAGGCGTGTAGTGACTTTGAGGTCCTTGGAGGTGGAATGTCCAGTACTGCTCTAACTCGGTCACGGGTGAGATGTCTGGTTCCCTGAGACAGACAATGGCCAAGGAAGATAACAGTAGGGTGGCAGAATTGCAGCTTGAGATGTGAAGCTTTACATCCGTGTTCTGCTAGATAGCAAAGAAGATTATTTGAGCATTGTTCTGTTGTGGGTAGGTCATCTCCACAAAGCAGCAAATCATCCACATATCGAAGCAGGACGACCTCAGGATGGTCAGATTGCCATGAATCAAGGATAGAGCACATGGCCTTCGCAAATTGACTTGGTGAATTTTGTGCCCCTTGGGGCATGACAGTCCATGTGTACTGTTGTTTTTCATGTGTGAAAGCAAACAGATATTGGCAAGTTAGATCCAGGGGAACACTGAAGAAGGCATTGGCCAGGTCAATGACTGTGAAGTACTTGGCAGAGGGTGGAACGCCAGAAAGGAGAGTGTGTGGGTTGGGCACTATTGGAGTGTCCAAAACTGTGGCTTCATTTACCGCTCTGAGGTCTTGGACCAATCTGTACTTTTCTGGTTCGCCTTTTGGAGTCTTTTTCTTTACAGGAAATAATGGAGTATTGCATGGTGATTCACATTTGACAAGAGCACCCTTCTCCAGGAGTGCTTGAATCTGAATTGTAATGGCTGCAGCTTGAGCTGGTTTCAAAGGATACTGTGATTTTTCGCTCCTGGGATGAGCTTTACCACCACAGGTGGGACCTTTAGATGGCCTATGTCCTCTGGGCCTGTGGACCACAGTTTCTTGGGAACATCAGTCTTTAGTGAATCAGGGAAATTAGTCCTTAGGTCTTTAGCATCCCCATGAGGCTCTTCTAGATGTAGCTTTAGGGGTAAGGAGCACAAAGCTGAGGTGTCTGAGACAGATAGAGGGGTGGATAGTTCCACTTGTCCATCTGGAGTAAAGGTGATAGATGATTGCAGGCGTGAAAGAACATCAGCTCCTAACAGGTTAATGGGGCATGTGGAAGATACCACAAAGCGAGAAAGCAAGTTGTGGCAGTTACCAACCCGCAGTGGGGTGGACAGGGGACTTTGCCTTGGAAGGCAACAGAGGTACACCCCAACACAGGAGACATCAATATTGGAAAGAAATGAGGTATCGGGCAGGTCTTGTTCTCTCAGAACACTTCGGGCTGCACCTGTGTCAACTAGGAAAGTGGTGGGCTGGCCCTCAATGGGTAAAATTACAGTAGCTAGAGGCCCCCCTTGTTCCCCTGAAGACACTGCCATAACAGGGGCATTAAGCATCAGTAGGTTCTATCATTTATATTAATTAGACTATAACAATTATACCACCCTGTAACTAAAATTAATAACCAGAAGTGGCTGGGTTAATAAAACATGTCACTAATCCTTCTAATGCTAGACCATCATTTAACGTAAAGGATGTTACTGTAAACATACGATCTGTAACTAGCAAGATTCGATTAAGCAAAGATACAATGTTTAAAATAACTTGCATTATTTGGCTATTTCCCTTGTTGCAAGATTAATCTGGATAATCAGCTGCTATGCTCTTATATTCGTGTCCAACAGATCTCATTTGTAGGTCACACCACAGTTGCAAATGACATTTAAGCAACCTTCTTTTTTTTTTTTTTTATATCACAGACACATTTCTGATACAGGGAAACAAATGGCATGATTACCAGTCAAAGGTAACCTCCTTTTACAGAGGAGTGTGTATAATACAGTGCTTTAAGACAAGTGAAGTGATTTGTAGGCTGCTCAATACACTTATGTGAAAATATCCTCTATTTCACAAGATACGGTTGAAGTTATTGGTGTGGTTTAAGCTATAGACAAACTTATACCAATAAGTGGAGCGCTCCTAACACAAGTACAGCTTACCAAATGGTATCCCATTCAATGGCGCAGTGTAAGGTACATGTTTAAAAAGATACAAAAGAATACAATATAGTGTAGACGGTATGGGAAGTGTTAATTTGATAATAATAGTTATATTAGGTAAATTGAACACTCACATTTCTAGGAGCCTGTATATAAGAACACTGGCTCCGTATGTTGGCCAATGTGCTTATAAGGGTAGCACCGCCCTTCTCCTTCAGTGTGGGGTAATTCTCCAAAACAAAATGATAGAGAATGGCATGATTGTTTTAGTAATTATAATGTTTCTGTTCATAATATGTAGAGTGTAAGGAAAACAACATGTCTCTAAATAGGACGAGCATAATAGGGGTAGGCCTCATGATGGAGGCAGCCATGACAGGGGCGGGGAAGGAAATGACAGCAAGGGAGGAAGTGAGAGGGGTGACGTCCATGATATGTGTGGGAAAGGAAGACAGGAGGTGTGGGCATGGTAAGGGCGGAAGTGACGTCACTTTGGAAGCAACCGTGACTGTAGATAGGTCACGGGACTGGCAGGGTCAACCTCCTTCTGTACTAGGCGCCATCTTTAGGGTGGTGGCTGATGCACTTTCAACAATACACTATATTATAACTAATAAAATAAGTCAGAGAAGCAACATTCCGTTCTGCAAAATGAAATACTAAACTATGAACAGACCTGGCAGGTTAAATAAGACAGTTGAAAACATTATGCATTTAACAGCCCATATAGCTGTCTCTAGAAACATGTTCTTTAAAATGATGCAAGATAAACTCACGGAATTCAACCAATTTCCCTTATCATCCTTCACATACTAGCTTAACAACTTCGCATATTCCCTCTATCCACATTGCATAGTTTTGCAACAAATCACGCTTGCCTTTACACTTAAGACGTCCAAATATTCCTCTATTCTTGTATCAGATTCACTTACTTAACCTCCGTAAATCAACACTGAGCTACATCCCTGACTCCCTGTCTTATACACCAGTCTTGGAGAGAATACTCAGAAAGGTGGAATGCATTCTTGTGAGCGAGCCCCCCCCACAATCTTCACTGCCTTATCACAAAACACAATTTATATATATATAAACGGCAAGCGGCAACAATAATAATATTATTACACAATTATAACACCATAACCTTTGAATTAGAATATTTTCCAGCAAAAATCCCGTCTCTAACTCTTATCAGCAGCTCCGAAATGCAGAAGGCATGTCACTCCTCCATTCGGAGGCAAGCGGGGAGGAAAGGGGGGGATGTGAGACAGTGCAAAAAGGTGAGAGAGAGAAAGACTGCAGGCATGAAGGTTAACTATGTGAGTGCTGGAAAGTAACAAGACAGAAGGACAGAGACTTATACGTTTGGAGACCAGAAATCTTTGACGGGAGAAATGGACTGGAGGTGCAGGGAGCTGCAGAGAGAGGATGAGGGTGACGAGATCTGTAGGACTGATGGGGGGGGGGAGAATAGGGATCCATCAGCATCCAGTAACACAATTATAATATACAAACAATCTTAAACCTTTGTGATCAATTTCTTCCTCAACCTATCCCTTTTGCTGAATAGCTCTTGCTACTCGGTACCAGGCTTCTGCTGTACAAACCAAATCTTGGTCCGACAGCTTCCCTTTCTTCTCTGTCAGTAACTTACGCCAGCTCTCTGGCTACAATCTGCCGCACAGAGGTACGGTAATTCCACATACTTTAGCAATCTTCCTCACTTTCTTAACCATCTCTTCTCCTTCTCTGTCTTCCACTAGATCACATGCTAACCAACCCTTACTGGGTTTATCTAACTTCTGTCCCATCCTCCCTATATAAGGCGTCCCAGATATAGAGAGAGAAAGGAACAGAACGTCTACCGTGCTCGACTGCTACTTTAAGAGCAAGCTCTTTAAGTACGTCTTCCCAAAACGTAGACTAGTCACTGATTCCGCCTACCCGTGGTAGCCGCGGATTGGAGCGTGGTGAGAAGTGTGTGACCAATCACTTCTCTCAACAGAGAAAGAGAAATAGGAGATTGAAAGTGTAAATAGTACAGTGAGTAAGATAGAAGTAAACACAGGAATCTGTGTGACAGACAATTAAGACAACATTTCAAATAAAATACAGTGCATGCATCACAGTTCAAATAAGTTCAACAGTTTTATCCCTTGCCTTTACTCGTGTGGCCAAAAGCCACCTCCCTCAACCTCGTAGTGTCCCTGTTGCGGACCCACCCGCAAGTCTCACTACCAGCAGCCACAGGAAACAGCAACAGCTTCCAACCCGAATCCTGTATAGCCTAAAGAATTGGAATCTTACCTGCCTCAGCGCTCGAGGCTGGAATTTTACCAAGAAGAAGTGTCCGATGAGGCTAGCTAAGTGGTCAAAGCGACACTATGGGGAACCCCCAGGAAGCAGTGAGTCTACCACCCTCCACAGATTCCCCCTACTCTTTTTCCTTACAGCCACAGCTACGTGGCTCCTAAAAGAGTTAAACAGGCACTTACACTCCCCGGGTGCTAAGTTAAACACAAACCAATATAAACACACCCAGGCAACAGATAGTCAACATGCAGGTAAACTAGGTATCATTAACAATACAAAGACTCTGGGCAAGTTATTACCTGACTTTGATGTCCTCTCGGCAGCAGTCACAGACACTGGGATAGGTCAATCACAGGGGCAGGAACATACCGGCTAGGTGCTGCAGCAATCTCCACCGTGTACTCAGAGGTGATCAGGCTCTTTTCCTTCCCCCAGGATTCATCCCCCCCAGCATCTTCTTGGACAGCTGCCCAGGCAGGACATAGCCCAGAGCCCCACGTTATGGCGCCAGCTGTTGTAGATAATTTACTGCAAACCAATTAGTTTGAATGACTATCTGTTCCTGTCCAAATTAATGATAATAAAGTTGCGTGCACGCAGAAGTAAATTCACACTGAGACACAAAGTTCAGGTTAATGAAAGAACTTCGGAGAAGTTTAATGGCTTCTGACAGAAAATGGGTGCGCAGACCCTTTTAAAGGCATTATTACATTGGTCCAGGTGTTAAGTGGTTAGTTAGATACCCTCCTATCAAGAGGTGATGTCATCCTTGACACGGGAGTGGACACAAGATGTAGGCGCCATCTTGTTAGCACGAGGTGTTCACTCGATGGGAGGGGTGCTTTGGCAGCCATTTTGAGTAGTTATTATTGTTAGCTTCAAGGTTCTTTTAGTAAATACACATTTTATTATTCAGCACATTTCCTCCTGACAAAGCATTAGCTTAATTTCAAGAATTCTATAATTCTACAACATTCCCTTTAGTTTTTTGTGCAGTATATATATTTTTTTTACATTTTTTTTTCATACTTAAAGCCAGCCTGGAGGATTTGGTCCAGTTTCTGGAGGTACCGACTAACTCTGGTCCGCCGGAGCCACCGAAGCCTAGTGTGCACACTGGGCGGGAGAAACGGCCGATCTCCTGTCCCATGACGCAACATTCTCCCACAGTGAACTACAGCACCCTGTTACACACTCCCCCCTCCTTTGGACCGGCGAGGGATTTCCCGGTCCCCACAGGGTTGCTTTACTCACGACTGCAGGCGTACGGCAGCCAATTCTGTTTGATACTACACCGCAGCTGACTCTCCCTAGATGGCGGACACGCTCACTCCACATAAACATGAGCTGACTCCAATGGGAGCTGAACACATCGTGGTGCGACTGGAACATCACTTTGCATGCTTCTGGGCAAAACTTAAGGCCCACATCATGGTGGCATCACCTCAGAGTCTGGAGAAAGGAGCAAGTGACAGTGGAGCAGAGGTGAGAGGGCCTCCTCCAGGCAATGCATCTCAGCAATCTCCTGTGTTTCCCAGCACTGGCCTGCCTAGGCTGAGGGTCGTTAGGGACGTAGTCCCCGTGCATCAACCACCCAGACGGAACACCAGGAGCCTCCATAATTCCCCTGTAGGGATGGACTTAAACTCCAAAGCGAGCCCTACACCGCACTCCCGCCTTACTACACTTCGTGGCAACCATCCAGCATTCCCAACCATGGGCATTGGCTGAGACTGGACTTAATCCCAAAGGCATATTGCCTGTACCAATAGGTGTCTCCCTAACTCCAGTTGCCACCTTATGGCACCTCTAAGCATCTTCTCACCAAAATGAGCGATGGTTTTATTTTGCTTTAATTTCTGTGTATTACATTTAGTTAATTTCCTTCATAATGCAGAATTGCGCCAGTGATCCTGACCCCAGTGGCTCTTTACTCCTGAAACACTACTACGACTAGCGACATTATATTGTGCTTGTACTAGCTTGTTTTAACGACTAGCAGGTTTCTTCTGCACTATTTGTATGGCGGCAAGCGCAGTTTAAGTAATTGTTTAATATTCTTACGCTACAGTTATGTGCATGTGAACGGCTTACCTAATTAATATAAAAAGAGGCAGATAATGCTAGGAGATGATATATTGTGTTGTATTATCCCTATCCTGTATGTATCTTTATTGTTTCCCCTTCTTTATACTGTACCATTACAACTATATGCCTCAATAAAAGAAAGATTGACAAAAAAAAATACACGTAGACTTTGAATATATATATTTAAACTAGAAGTGTTTATTTATGTAATCTTTTTACATAATTAAGTGATTTTATTAATTACAATTTAATAGACCAGCCTGACAACCCAGGCAGAAAGTCAAGAGAATATAATTTGTGAGCCCTATATTTTCCTATACCTTTTAAAACCACCACAAATCTGTATGTGGGACCTACTGCTTTACTCAGGAGACTTCGCTGAATACAAATAGGAGTCTCTTAAAACCATAAAACGTACATATTTCCCTATTAGCCTTATATTGTGGTGTAGCTGATTACACTTAGGGAGTACTAGTCAGCAATTCACTAATAAAGTGAAACAGGCTGGGTGGGCGTAAAAATAAATTGCCAGGGTGGCGATAGTTGGGTCGGTGCGGGGGGCTCCATTACAGGTTGTCAAAATGTCGCATACTAGAGGCTTACTTGCATGCTAGATTTACCCCTAACCTAAGGGAGTAGCTGGGGGGAGGTGACAATGTAGGTGTAGAGCGGAGCTAATTTAGCTCATTGAAGTTACGTCTGACTGCCGTGATTACAGCGTGAAAATTTGTGTCTGCGGTATGGCCTGGGAAGTACGGAACAGGGTAAAGAAACAATAGTAGCAAAACACAGGGTAAACTAATGGATGTCAGTGAGTTGAACCTGCAATTCTTTAGCCACAGGCAGTCAAGTTCCCAGTTGGACTGGTCCTGCTCCCCGAGTCCCAGGTCCCAACTGCTTGAACTGTGGTCTTCTCCAAAGCCTGCGTGGGTATACCCAGGTCTTGTAGAAATCGCTGTGCTTCAGCAAGAGATGTAAGCTTATGCACAATTCCACGTTGGGTCACATACAGGGACCCCCATTGGCAGGTCAGTACGGCATCTTTCAGGGATCTTCTCCATTGAAGTGTTGCTCTTGTGATGTTGTTACAAAATGTGAGATGAGTATCTTCGAATAAGAGCGGTGTCTCATACAGCAGTCATTATATGACCCTTGTCTTGAAGGGAAGTACAGCGGATGATAGTGTACCGTTAGGAGGCGCAGTTGGGGACCTTGGTAAGCGGTATATCCCATCGAGTGTCAGCTTTCTGGCCAAGTTTGGAGGTAATAATGTGGCCATAAGGCCTTCAGGAGGTGTGGCAATTCCTCAAGGGGTATCGTCAGGGATTCTCCTGATTTTTATATGATGCCGGCGGTAGCGGTCCTCCATGGCTGACACCTGGGCCGTGAGCTCCAGTTGGGAGGATTCAATGCATCTGAGGGAGTCCTGCATATTGGACAGCTCACCCCTGAGGTCCATGATGTCCTCTTTGGTGGCGCAGACCTTGTCGGTGACCGCTTTGAGTGTGCAGGAGGAGGGTAGTGCCTCCGTTGGCTGAGGTGGGTCTGATAGTTCTGCGGGGCTGCTGGTACAGGAGGCTCCATGACCTTCCATAGCTGTCATTTTGGGCTGCGGTAGGCGCTGTAGGAGAGTCCCAATATCCCTGAACTCTATTGTGGTACCAGCTGGTTGCCTCTGATCGCTGTCCCATAGTCAGAGCTGTCTGGCCATGTAGATTGGGCCACTTCAGTCGTGTGGCAGAGGTTGAGTGCCGTCACTCCGTTTAGGAGGGAGTTCAGGCTGGTGAAAAGTAGGCCACAGGCCTCCGCTTCAGTTTATTCGCCCTTGGGGCTTGAAAGAAGGGCATCCATTTGTGCAGAGGGTTACCACAAGACAGGTTTGGTGGTTCTCCCTTCTGGATGGGCGGCCAAATGGGTGATTTGATACAGGTAGTCAGGATCCCCGGGGAAATGTGTCCACTCTCGTTAAGTGGTAAGCTTTGCCCCCCAACATTGCCCATTTTGAATACCCTGGGTTGTCTACCTTTTCAAATGGTAAGCCAGGATGAGGGTAATTCTCATTGCTAGGCTACTATACGGTCTCAAAAGCAATAAAACCAATCTGTCTACCATACAAAAACAGAAATGGGCAAGTTTTATTTTTGACCCTGTAAACAAAAACACCAAAAAACCTGGACATGGGGGTTACTGTTGTACTCGTGAGACATTACTAAACATATATAAGTATATTCTATTGCAACAAAAGCTGACCGCATTACACATTCATAGTCAAAATGCCATGCAGAACTTGGAAAATAACACAATTTCTTAATTTATCACACTTTTTCAGATTATATTCATATACAATGACTCATATCTAAATATTTGATGTGAAATGAAAGCACTGTTTCTCCTGAACAAAATTTTATATAATAAGTGTGGGTGCACGCAATATGAAAGAGGTGAATTATGGCTGAACAGACATATAGTCAAATTCCAGGTTTTGTTTTGATATTAAAGGACCACTCTAGGCACCCAGACCACTTCAGCTTAATGAAGTGGTCTGGGTGCCAGGTCCAGCTAGGGTTAACCCATTTTTAATAAACATAGCAGTTTCAGAGAAACTGCTATGTTTATTAATGGGTTAAGCCTTCCCCCAAAGCCTCTAGTGGCTGTCTCATTGACAGCCACTAGAAGCGCTTGCGTGCTTCTCACTGTGATTTTCAGAGTGAGAGCACGCCAGCGTCCATAGGAAAGCATTGTAAATGCTTTCCTATGCGACCGGCTGAATGCGCGCGCAGCTCTTGCCGCGCGTGCGCATTCAGTCGACGGGGCGGAACGGAGGAGGAGAGGAGGCAGAGAGCTCTCCACCCAGCGCTGGAAAGAGGTAAGTTTAAACCCCTTTCCAGAGTCGGGCGGGAGGGGTTCCCTGAGGGTGGGGGCACCCTCAGGGCACTATAGTGCCAGGAAAACGAGTATGTTTTCCTGGCACTATAGTGGTCCTTTAATATTTAATAAAAAGGTTAATAGCATGATGTGACAAAAAGGTGATATAGTGACCTTATATAAATAGTGATATACAGTAATAATTACCACAATAATATGTGAATAATTACTGTATCACTATTTATATAACGTCATCATATCACACAATTGTATTGTACTGTATATTTGCATTTTAGAAAGTGGAATTTGTTTTGTGATTTTTTTTTTTCCCAGGACCACCACATACAGTTGCAAGAAAAAGTATGTGAACCCTTTGGAATGAAATGGATTTCTGCACAAATTGGTCATAAAATGTGATCTGATCATCAAAGTCACAACAATAGACAATCACAGTCTGCTTAAACTAATAACACACAAAGAATGAAATGTTGCCATGTTTTTATTGAACACACCATGTAAACATTCACAGTGCAGGTGGAAAAAGTATGTGAACCCTTGGATTTAATAACTGGTTGAACCTCCTTTGGCAACAATACCTTCAACCAAACGTTTCCTGTAGTTGCAGATCAGACGTGCACAACGGTCAGGAGTAATTCTTGACCATTCCTCTTTACAGAACTGTTTCAGTTCAGTGATATTCTTGGGATGTTTGGTGTGAATTTCTTTCTTGAGGTCATGCCACAGCATCTCAATCGGGTTGAGGTCAGGACTCTGACTGGGCCACTTCAGAAGGCGTATTTTCTTCTGTTTAAGCCATTCTGTTGTTGATTTACTTCTATGCTTTGGGTCATTGTCCTGTTGCAACACCCATCTTCTGTTGAGCTTCAGCTGGTAGACAGATGGCCTTAAGTTCTCCTGCAAAATGTCTTGATAAACTTGGGAATTTATTTTTCCTTTGATGATAGCAATCCGTCCAGCAAAGCAGCCCCAAACCATGATGCCCCCACCACCATACTCCATAGTTGGGATGAGGTTTTGATGTTGGTGTGCGGTGCCTTTTTTTCGCCACACATAGTGTTGTGTGTTTCTTCCAAACAACTCAACTTTGGTTTCATCTGTCCACAGAATAATTTGCCAGTACTGCTGTGGAACATCCAGGTGCTCTTGTGCAAACTTTAAACGTGCAGCAATGTTTTGTTTGGACAGCAGTGCACTGTGCTCTTGCAGTCATCTTTACAGGATGGCCACTCCTAGGGAGAGTAGCAGCAGTGCTGAACTTTCTCCATTTATAGACAATTTGTCTTACCGTGGACTGATGAACAGCAAGGCTTTTGGAGATACTTTTATAACCCTTTCCAGCTTTATGCAAGTCAACAATTCTTAATCGTAGGTCTTCTGAGAGCTCTTTTGTGCGAGGCATCATTCACATCAGGCAATGCTTCTTGTGAAAAGCAAACCCAGAACTGGTGTGTGTTTTTCATAGGGCAGGGCAGCTGTAACCAACACCTCCAATCTCATCTCATTGATTGGACTCCAGTTGGCTGACATCTTACTCCAATTAGCTCTTGGAGAGGTCATTAGTCTAGGGGTTCACATACTTTTTCCACCTGCACTGTGAATGTTTACATAGTGTGTTCAATAAAAACATGGCAACATTTCATTCTTTGTGTGTTATTAGTTTAAGCAGACTGTGATTGTCTATTGTTGTGACTTAAATGATGATCAGATCACATTTTATGACAAATTTGTGTAGAAATCCATTTCATTCCAAAGGGTTCACATACTTTTTCTTGCAACTGTATATAATAAGTTACCCTGGTCTTCATTAAATCTCAGATCTGGGACAAGGCCTGTCATAATTAATACACACTGGAGAATGCAATGTATTTCATCATGCCCTTTAATTTTCCCCTGCCAACAAGGAGATATATAGATTTTTTAGTCTAGGGTGTTACACTTTATTCAGCCAATCGCAGATTGGCTCAGTATTCTTTGCAAATTAAGCAATTTTAACACATCACAATTGTGTGTTAGGAATAGATAAGCAAACTTGCTCGGCATAACTTAGGTGTCATGGCTGCTAGTGTGGTCCAACACGCAGAACTATGTAACATTTACATAGAAAATAGAAAGGAAGTAAAAAGGATAGAATGGATGGACTAATATGTTAGAGACAGAGAATGGTCAAGGGATAGCCGAGGTCAAGGAGTGAATCAGGGATTTAAATATCCCTCTCTAGTCTGTGATTGGTCAGAGAGTGACCTCTGACCCCAGAACGTGCGTGTGCGTTGGCGTCGTGACGTTACACGCACGTTCCTATAACCTTGGGGGGTGGAAGCATTGATGGCCGCGACCGCATGGTCGGCACAATCTTTGTTTTGGGCACACTGCCCAGAAGACGCAGCTTGTCGGCGCGGTCATGCCGGTCGGGCACAGACGCGCCATGCAGTGAGCCGGGAGGCTTGACAGTACCCCCCACTCGAAGACCGCTCACTGGGCGGGAAGGAGCTGGCTTGTGAGGAAAGCGGTTGTGAAACGACCGGACAAGATAGGGAGCATGAACACGGTCTGCAGGAACCCAGCTACGTTCCTCTGGGCCAATATCCCTTCCAGTCAACTAAATAAGACAAAACACCCCTAGAAATCTTGAAATCCAATATAGAGCGAACTGCATACTCTTCCTGACCACAGACTACCAAAGGTGGAGGAGGAGCGACCAGTTTAGTGTATTGATTACAAGTGAGAGACACATGGAATGTATTAGCAATTCT